GATTATAGGCACTTGCTTTTCAGGAGTCATTTCACGATTTAAAAGTAGCTCCAGAATTGAAACACCTACCTGAGATAAAGAAATGATCCCCACCCCCCACCCCTCTTAAATGTGAGCCAGGTCAGAAGTAATGACGGCATTTTTTTCAGCTGTCACAGCGGCTGACCTTGGTGAGGAGGAGAGGGGCTGGAGAAGGCAGACACAGAGCTCAGCGTCCCCGTGACTCAGTGTGCTTCTCAGGGAAATGAAATTTGTAATTTTTCTCTTCAGGAGCTGACATATGCGGGGTCCCTGAAGGCTCATTTTTTGGTGCCTTCTGAGTACAAAAATCACTGTGACTTGTAGTGAGGTGAATGATTTAAAGAATTCTTTGTCCCACCCAAGTTTTCAAATTTCAGAGTTAAGAAGTAATTTATTTATTTTTTTAATTTTTTATTTATTGATATTAGAGGATGGGAGAGAAAGGCATCGATTTGTTGTTCCACTTATTTACACATTCATTGGTTGATTCTTGTATGTGCCCTGACTGGGGATCGAACCCACAACCTTGGCATATCGGGACAATGCTCTAACCAACTGAGCTACCCAGCCAGGGCAAAAGTAATTTATTTTTATTTATAACCTACTATTGCTAAAGAGCCTAGAAAAGGCCCCTCATTCAGAAATTACCAGGAAAATAGTTCAATCTTTACTGCCTATGATTTCATAATATTTTGTCAAAGATGCTTTACTGTTAACAAAATGAGAGAGGAGTCATAACCCTAAAAATAGCAAATTCCCAAATTCCCATATTCCCAGCTCTAGGAAGGACTCCCAGCTGCTGCAAGCACGCAGTACCGGCTGCCGACCACCCGGTCAGGCGCACAATGCAGGTACTTCCCCGTCCCCCTCCCTGATACCTTATGAAATGCTTGAAATCAGTCTGTGACGTCACTGTGGTGGAGAAATGTTACAGGTAGGACTTTTTCTCAGGTGGACTTAGATTCACCTGTCTGGCCTGCAGAGGGAGAGCTGTGGATACCCAAGGGGAGCTTCCCCCAGAATCCTGGGGGGATCGAATAAATAGAATGAGCTCAGCTTTCTGCCTTGCACACACAAATCACAGGATATTGGGATCGGAAAGTCCCAATCACACTACCCTTGTTTCATCAAAGGGACAACCAGAAAAAGTTGTGACCACCACACACCTAGGTTATTCACTGCCTGAACTAGGACCCAGGCCCCGAACTAGCCAGCTGCGTGACTTCGCAAGTTTCTTAACCTCTCGGTATTTCAGATTTCTCCCTGCAAGGCCGGCGTGAGGCCTGAAAAAGTGGTTTTGTGCAAAGCACTAAGTGCAGGCCGGGCTCAGGACGAGCGCTGGAGCTCTCCATCTGCAGCCTCGGCTGCCCATTATCACCCTCCATTTGATGCTCTTCTGCCTGCCTGGAGGAGCTGAAAGAAACAGCAAGTGATCTTGTGCCTTAGAATCCAGAGAGGCTTAACATTCCGGCAGGACTGTGAGGAAAAACATCACGGCTGGAGGAGGCCGGCTCACAATGCGCTGGGCCTTCCCCATAACCAACCAGTGGCTGGCTGTGAAGGAGAGATGTTCTTAGCTTGATTTTATTAATTTATAATGTTTGCTCTCATTTAGTTCATATAAGGAAAATTATGGTGAACACAAACATGGTGCAGTGTGAAATCCCATTGAGCCAAAAGAAAGTTCTATTTATCGGCAGAATTCTACTTGTGGAACCAAATTACCAGTGTTTGGGATGGGGGGGAAATACTTCTAAAAGTTTTATAAGGTCACCCTGGCCGGTGTGGCTCAGCTGGTAGGAACATTGTCTTGTAAACTGACAGGTCGCGGGCTGGGTTCCCAGTGGAGGCATACGCCTGGGTGCGGGTTTGATACCCTGGTCAGGGCATGTATGAGAGGCAACTGATCGATGTTTCTCTCTCATGTTAATGTTTCTCTTTTTCTCTCCCTCCCTCTCTTCTCCTTTCTAGAGCATGTCCTCAGGTGAGAATAAAAAGGCTGGGGAGGGGGTTAGTTTTACAAGGTCTTGAAAAAGGATTTTGAGTCATCAGCTTATTTAAGATTTTATTTATTTTTAGAGCGGAAGGGAGGGACAAGGAGAGAGAAGGAAACATCAACATGTGAGAGAGACATATATCAGTTGCCTCTCTGACGTGCACCAACCAAGGACCAAACCCACAACCCAGGCATTCGCCGTGACTGGGAATCGAACTGCCGACCTTTCACTTTGCGGGACAACACTCAACCCACTTAGCCTTGCTGACCAGGGCCTGAGTCATCAGCATAGATTTATTGGTGCATAGGGATAGCTCCTGTGTGAGGTGAATGGAAATGATCTCCTACACAGCATGTCTACACTGAGTGCACAACCATAGCTTCCAGTTTGAGGGGTCGGACCCCGGTTCGTCGCATGAACACCCTGACACGAGGGCATTGACATGACCATTTTCCGGGGTTACCCTCTTGTCTCAGTGGTCACTTCCCCTGCAACTCGCTTCGTTACAAACAGCGCAGTGTGTGTCCGTGTAAGGTAACTTCAGTTTACACCCTACAGGCCGGAAGCCGTCAGTGGAAGACTCTGTTCTGGAATCCATTCTCCAGAGGTGGCTGTTAAGCACTGTAAATATCATTATCAATTCTAAGCTATAGGGTGTATTGGCTAGCACAAGAAACCTTAGACATCCTTCTCCATCGCAGAAACGGGGGCTGTGCGAGACACGCACGTGAAGGTGGCCCGGCCGGTTGCTTGGGTCGTGACGCTGGCTCACTCGGCTCTGCTTTTCCCACGTACCAGTGTCTCCAGCCATTGAAAGCTCTTTGTGTATACAGTGCGAGCGGGTCATGTTAATGGGTTCATTAGTCAGTCATTTCCCTCTTATCTTTTAGGCTAGGATCCCCCCTATTATGTTTAGGTTGCTGAGGATTTCGTTACTGAGAGTAGAGACATGGTGCGCATCAATGTACATTACTCACATTTCTGATACTTTGGGGGAGACAAGACAAATCTTGCTTCTGCCTCTGGCTGTCCACCTTTACGCAAGTTACTGTATTCTTCTTTTTTCTCATTCGTCCAATGGAACCGATAGACTAGAAATGAACACCCAGCTCCCCAGCATGGGTGTGAGGGGTCAGGGACACCTGACCGAGGACAGGCCTTTGGTCTTGCCTGTGTCCTTTTCCTCCAGCAAGGGGGACCCTGAGGCTTCTTATTCTCAGTCCAAGGTACCCTTACTGCTCAGTATTAAGAGCTCAGGAAAGGGGAGGTTTTCTGTGACAGACTGCATTATTCACGTACACACGTTGAGGCCCTGAGAGCGGTAATAGCCATGGAAATCCCTCTACCTGCAAATATCAGGAGGCCGCCAGCCAGGGCTCCCGTGGACGCCGCCGTTTGCACCATCTTCTGTTATTTTGCTAATTGAAGAGGTGGCGGTGATCCGTCAAAAACCATGGACGATCCTTTCTTTAATAAGATTGAATGTTTTAAAACCAAATAAACAAGACAGAACCTAGAAATTTTAAATCCCTGGAACGTGTCACAAAATCTCTAGAGGTCTCATTCATGGGAAAACCAGTCTGTCAAGCTGTGAACAGGCTTCAGCAGCACAAGCCACTCGTGCCGAGCGAGGCGGCATTCGGGGCCCTGAAGCCAGGGTAGCCCCGTTAGGCCTTTATTCCACCCCAGACTCACTGTGCCCTGTTTGTGGACAGCAGTTTACCTGTCTCAGCCTGGATGCCCGGCTCCTTGAGGTCCAGGACCTTGTACAGGGTCATCTTTGTGTGACCCAAACACCTAGGCAGGCTCTTAAACTTAACAGGCGCTCGATAAATTATTACTGTCACATATGGCTGAAAGCTACTCATACCAGAAACTGCTGCTCTGCTCTCCAAGAGGAAAATGATGGTCGCCTCTGGGATGGGATAGGAGGACTTTGGGGAAAAAAAAAACACTTGCCCATTTGAATCTTGTGCTACACCAGAAAGCGCTTCTGATTCTTGGCAAGTGCATTCCCGCTCTCGCATCCACTTCTCATTTTTCTTAGAGACATCTGTTGTCCCGCAGTTGGCGTTCTCATTAGCACACCCATGTGCATTAGTAGAAAGGTCAAGAAGGTGGAAATTGTGAAGAGGGAAAGACAAAAACTAGAGAGACAGTTTATATTTTATCAACCAACACCTCAGTTTTCACTTCTAGAGCATGAGGTGTATATTGGAAGAATTTTGTTTAAAAACGAGAAAGTGTTGAGCAAATTTCTCCAATCAGCACGTGCTGGTACCTGCTGCATCTCTGCCTGGAGCAGCCCCATCCCCTCCACCGTCACCATCGTCACACACAGACAACCTCCTGTCTACCTGACCCCTCTTTATCTTCTACCCTCCCTGCTTCGTCTTCCCAGGACCCCCAAACCTGAAATGAGTTCCCCTCTAAGCAGCTCCCATGGCCTCCTGTACCTCCTCCAGCGTAACATTTATCCCAACGTGGTGATCACCTCCCTAGACTAGAGCCCCCAGAGGGCAGGCACCAGGTCTGTCTTTTCCACAGTTCCATCGCTCGTCCCTGGGAGGACACTCAGTAAGTTTATAGAAGAGGTGAATTTCGATGAGTTTATGTAAGCCTTTTCTTTGTATCGGCCTTTGTTTATCTCTTTCAACAGCACCTGTTGAGTGCGGGTGTTCAGGTTTTGCACTATACAAGTCAGCTAGCAGCGTGGGGGATGGGGGCTGACACCCAGCCCCCCCTGTTCTTCACCAAACCTTTCCCCCAGCCATACCCAGCCGGAGGACCAGTTAGGTACCTTTTCTGATTTACACAGTGGCTCCAGCCCTGAACAACAGGTAGCATCTTCAAAAGGAAGCAAGAACTTCTCTCTTCTTAACAGCACCGGGGTTGCGAGCTTTGCCCACGTCCAAGCCAAGACCCTGACCCCACCCACAGCAAAGCCACGCCTCACTCCTCTCTGACTTTTGTCTCCTGCAGGGTTTGGGATGACGACTCCGGCGACAGTAGGAGGGAAAATCTTCCTGATCTTTTACGGCCTCGTTGGGTGTGCAAGCACCATCTTGTTCTTCAACCTGTTCCTGGAGCGACTGATCACCGTCATCGCCTACATCATGAAGTCGTGCCACCAGCGGCAGCTCCGGAGACGGAGGGCGCTGCCCCAGGACAGCCTGAAGAACCTGGGCAGGTCTGAGGTGGACGGGCTGGCCGGCTGGAAGCCCTCCGTGTACTACGTGATGCTGATCCTCTGCCTGGCCTCGCTGCTCATCTCCTGCTGCGCCTCAGCCATGTACACGTCCATCGAAGGCTGGAGCTACTTCGACTCGCTCTACTTCTGCTTTGTGGCTTTCAGCACCATCGGCTTCGGGGACCTGGTCAGCAGCCAGAACGCCCAGTACGAGAGCCAAGGCTTCTACCGCTTCGCCAACTTTGTCTTCATCCTCATGGGCGTCTGCTGCATCTACTCCTTGTTCAATGTCATATCCATCCTCATCAAACAGTCCGTGAACTGGATTCTGAGGAAGGTGGACGGCGGCTGCTGCCAGCGGTGCCAGAACGGGCTCCCGCGGTCTCGTAGGAACGCGGTCATGCCAGGCAGCGTCCAGAACCCGTGCAGCATCTCCATAGAAACGGACGGGGTGATGGAGAGTGACACGGATGGACAGAGTCCCTCGCAGGAGGGACTCTCCGGGAAGGACTGCCTGACAGCCCACAAGGCCTCGCTGCCCATCATCCCGAAGCAGCTGCCCGAGTCGGCCAATGGCTGCCCCCACCAGGCCGGCACGCTGTGTCAGGACAACGAATTCTCAGGGGGCATAGGAGCCTTTGCGATAATGAACAACAGGCTGGCAGAGACGAGTGGGGACAGGTAGGACAGAGGAGGCGGAGGGGAGAGTGGCTGCCGAAGGGACCGTCACCAGGCTCCGCTCTGCCTGTGCCTGGGTGCGTTTCGGAGCTCTCCCTCCTGGCTTCTTGAAGCCCAGCTTCAGAAATCTCATCTTTTAGGCCCTCAGAAACAGCCAGCTTTCGGGGCCGGGGCGGGGGCCGTGGGAGGCCGAAGCAGCCAGGCCTTTCTCCTTTTCTTTATTCTTTAGCTTTAAATTCAGTCTTTCAAAAACTAATCACCGAAGCAGCAGCCCGAGAGGTTGCACTGTTTCTTGACTCATCCTGCTCCAGGGTTCAATGGCCTAAGGGAGGGGTGGGGTTTAAGGAAGCCTTGATTTCCTGCGCCTCTGTTCTTCATTTGGCCGTAAAAACCCTAAAGATCCTAATTTTCCCCCGAGACTCTGGATAGATGAATTCACTTCCTCTCCCAGCCCCTTAATTAAAAAAAAAAAAAAAAAAAAATAGCAGAGGAAAATGTTTGGAAAGGTATCTGGGCTTGGGCTGCCTTCAGAGCAGACTTGGCCGTGGTTCCGCGGCTAAGGCAACCATCTGCTTTACTCTTTACCTGTTTCTCTGCTTTTTGCTTTTTCCTCCTTTCACTTTAAAGATCTTAATGCTTGGCTAAGGTGTCTTCGGGACCTGACCGTGCTAAGAAAAAAAAATTCAGCTTCAGGCCCTTAAACTGCAGCGAAGTGGTCAGGGAGACTCACTTTGAAAGTAAAGGATATAGTTTAACGTTTTCCCTTTCATGGGTCACAGAGACCAGTTCATTTCTACCAGGGCTTGGGGCCCATTACAAAGATCATGGCTATTTATTAAACCCAAAAATTCAATAAATCCTCATTTTATTAACTAAGATGACGTGCGTGCTCATTACGGGTAGTGGGAGTGGGGTGCCTAATTAGGCACTTATTACGCAGAGAAAAAGGAAGCAGGAAATTAATCTTTGGAGACAGGAGTATCATCTTAGATTCATAGCTGGAGAAATATTCTGGGCCAGAAAATAAAATCTGGCTTTTCTTGTCAAACATGTTTCAGTTTTGCCTTCTGGGATTGTAGCAAGTCTAGTTACATAACTTCCCAAGGAGTTAAAATGTCCACGTTAGGAACAAGGACTATTGATCTTCCTATGTGTAGGAGAGAACGTTTGGGGAATGAGAACAGAGTCTGGAAGACAGCTGTTGTTTTTATATGGTAAGAACAGTGGAGACACAGCACCTCCAGAAACGACGAGGGAAGATGGCTGCAGCAAAGGCTACAAAGGAGAAAACCTGCGCCTCCGGAAACTGAATCGTTGAGCACACAGCCCCGGGGCTGGGAGGAGCCTTAGGAACCATCCCATCCACCCGCTGTGCGTTGTGCACAAGGAAACGGGCACGGAGGGGCTGCCCCCTGTCTGAGCTCTCGCGGGGCTGACGCACGCAGGCAGCCCGGAGGACCTGGGTCTCCACAGGCGGAACGGGCTCTCCGTCCAGGCGCTGCACGCCCTCCGCTCCCTCCTGCGACAGCTCCCTCTTCGGGCTGAGTTGCCGGTCCTTCCCACTGGCAAGCCCAGACATTCTCTTTCCAAGGCCACCAGTGCCCAACAGCAGAAGTGTCCTAAGTGGCAGCACTGGGCTTTGAGTTTAGGGCTGTGCAGCTCCAACACCAGAGATCTTCCACCATGGGAGAAACAACTCTTTCGTACAGAAGAATTCCAATTAGTAAACAGAAGGAATTAGGGAAATAGAGCATTGCCCTCAGAACAGGGAAGTAACAGTTGCTGCGGAAGAGATCCAGCGGTGGGTGCGAAGATTGACGATGTTGACGTTTAAGCAGAATCAGGATATTTGGAGTCTCAAAGGATCTCCACCAAATATTTAGCAATTACAAAGAGGAAAACAGTAACTTTCCCATGTGGAATTCTGGCACACACCGCATATATCCAGTGCGTGAGTGTCACCAGGAGGACATAGCAATGTCACATGCCACCTGAAGGGATGGGCATGGCATCTCTATGACATCCTTTCCAATAACACAGAACTTCAGTCCCATTGTGAGAAAACAGCAGACACAAAGTGAGGGGCAGCCTACAAAATAAAACTCAAGTTAACGGAAGACAGGAAGACTGATGTACTGTTACAGATGGGAGGAGACTAAGGAGGCATAACCATTAAATGCATCATGGGAACCGGCACTGGGTCTTGGCACATGGAAAAGATATGAGTGGGAAACCAGGGGTGAAATCCAATAACTTGCAGTCTAGTTAATAATAGTCTTATATACTAAGGGTAAATTCTTGGTTTTGAGGATTGTTCTATGGTTATGTAAGATGTTAACATAACGGTAAGTTGGGTGAAAGGTATATGGGAACTCTCTGAACTATTTTAACAATTCGACTGTAAGCCCAAACTTACCTTGAAGTAAACAATTAAAAAACAAAAAAGCAAGACTTTCTCAAGATTGCACACAGCCCGTCATGCCTCAGTGTGGGCGGTGAACTGAGCTTATACCCCAGATTCCAGTTCAGGCCTCAGGTCCTCAGCAGGCCTTGGCCACGGACGCAGAGCAGCCATGCTGAGCACGGCCCCCAGACCAGCAGCAGCGGCACTGGGGTGCTTGGTGGAAGTGCAGACCCGCTGTTCTCGAACCCGACCTAAGGAACCAGAAGCTCTGAGGGCAGGACTCATATTTTAGCAAGTCCTCCAGGTGATATTTCCCATAAGGAACGCTATCCCAAGCATGAGCTGTTGAGGACAGGCAAGAGGCCACCCTTGGAGCCCAGCTCGCGTCCGTGTCAAGCTCTGCCGCTGTTACCGGATCCCGGTGCCTTCCAGGGCTGAATTGCTTTTCTGCATCTCAGAGCCATTTTGGATTAGCTGGAATCGCCCCGATGCCCAAGTAACGACTCTGGGAACTATGCTCTTGCTAACGTCTTAGACGAAGGTAACGAGTTAGTGTCCTGGATCTATGCAGAAGGTGGTGCTTTTTCATTTGTAAGAGCCTTTTTAAAAAAAAATATCGCCTCATGGTTGTCCTTGGGTGGAAGGTTTCTGTGCCATCCCCTGGCACTGGCCGACTGACGTCTGTTTAGTCTGCCAGCAGCCAGCCTTGGAGTTTCAGTCCTTACAGAATTACCTGCAGGAGGCGCCGCGCATCCAGCATGTACCAACGTCCTCAAACTCCCGAGAATCCCCGAGGGAGATCTTTTTTTTTTAAATGCTGATTTTCAGGTGTTTCCCCAGACCTTCTCAATCAGAATCTGTCTGTCTGTCTGTCTACCTGCCTATTCACCTATCCACCTCCTGTTGGTTCTCTTTTTCTAGAGCGCCCTGATTTATACCCTTTCCCACTTCCCGCTCTCCTTCCCTCTTGGGTTTTTCTGGGGAGGTAACAGTTCTCTCCTTTTATGAAAAACTGTCCTTCCCTTTTGAATTACACACCATCAAGGAGAAAAGAGCCTGTTACTGAATCTAACAGATACCTTTAATTAGCGTCACAAAAGAGAATTCTTCGAACGTATTGCCAATAGGATGCCATTATAAATTGAAGTGAAAGAATTTTCTTGACTCTGCTGTTATTGAGGACAGGAGTATCTGGTTACAACTGTCTTGTTTGTTTTGATCTAAAACATTTCTTACTTCCCATTTTACTGTCTCCTCAGATCAGCAGCGAGGGTGGGGTCTCCTGGCAGGCGGTAAACCCCTCCTGGGGAACGGGCAGGCACGCTTCTCACTGAACATCAAGAGCCCATTCTCTGTGCCGACAGCTTGGAGACGGCTCTTCTTCAGCTACAGAAATGTTCTTGCCCAGAGGCTCTCAAAGAAAAATTTAAGCAACATTCCCCTGATCAGTTCCATGTGCAGAGCCTTACATAAGTGGACCCTCAGTGAGAAGCCTCAATTGTTCCGTGAACAGAAGGTACAACGGACGGGCTGCAGGGGTGGGTGCCGCTCATGGACGGTCATAGTCTGCTGGGCGAGCTTCCTAGTGTCAAGCTGGTGACAGCGCATTGCAGAGCAGATCCCACGGTCCCTTTTGGCCCGGTCAGTTGGGTGCCTTTCAGCCGCTGAGCAAACTTTGGGGGCTGCTGCTAGGGAGACGAAGGGGCTGATTGAAAGCTATCATAACCTTCCTACCCCTGGACACACCGTTTTCTTACTCAGCTTAACTGCCGCGGTCCCTCCCTTCTCCCTTTCTTGTGCTGTATTTTGCCACATATAATGTGCATTTTTTTTGCCCAAGTTTTTGAGGGGAAAATAAAGGTGCACATTATATATGGGGATAATGATACATCGCGGGTCTAATAATGGATCTAATAATCCCACATATAATGTGCGCAGAACGTAATTTCCTGGCCCTTTCTCACTTCAAAAGCCCGTTTCTGCTCCCCGCGGGGCCTGGCCAGAGCCAGGCTGGCCGTTGGCAGCGGCCAGGTCCCTGTGCTAGACCAGGCGGCCACTGAGAGCCCCGAGACGAGACAGAGCCGCCCCCCAAGTGCCGCCGCCAGGAAATAGCAGGGCAAGTCGCAGGCCCGGTTTCTCCCTACACGCGGACACGTGCTCGACAACCATGCCGTGGCTTGCAGGTCCCAGCCCGGTCCCCCAGCCGGGCCCGTGGGCTCCGTGAAGTCCCAGCCCCGTCCTGCATCCTCCGACCACACTCGGCAGAAAAGGGCCGAGGCGCCCGTAGGCAGCGCCGGGCAGCCAGGTCCCCTGCGGGGCGCGAGGCGTCCGGGGACAGCTGCGGCACGGGGCCCCTCTCTCTCCTGCACACTTGGTCTCGCCCACCGGCTCCCTCTGTGGGGACAGCGGACACTGTGCCAAGGGCCTCCCGTGTATCACTTCACGCGTTCCTACAAAAACGATCCGTGTTGTACAATAACGGAAGCGGAGCTCAGAGGAGCGGCTTGTCCGAGGTTACGGGAGTTCAAGGTGCCCACATTGAAGAGGTCGGTCTGGCTGATGCCAGAGCTCCAAACACTTAACTAGGTCCCACGAGGAGCCAT